GAGATGAATAATATTATAAATTACAACAATAAATAAAAATTATGAACAATTTATATTTAGAAAATTTTAATTTATGCAAATAATGAAGAGTTTCTGATCAAATTTTTTTTTTCTTCTTTTGTTAATCTTTAAGTGAATTAATTTAATATATTGAAAATTGAAAAAGTAATTTTCTCTTAAACAAAAAAAAAAAGAATATTGTGGGAACGAAAATTTTTGTATAATTTTAATGAAATCCTTGTACCCTCGTACCAGTCGTTTATGTCAGCTTGAGACTATGGAGTTCTAAATAATTTAATTTGCGTAGCATTCCTGTGAAAATCATCTCGCAGTGGTTCTGCGCGAATTTTTCTTTTTTCTTTTTTTTATATATAAATATATAAAAAGTGTCGTTGCCTCGTGTGATAATTTTTATTGGCGAGAGATTTATTTGTTGAAAGGAGAATCATTCTCTGAGCTTTATTTCATTCGTCGGGGGAAAAATAAAAAAAAAAATAAAGTAACGTTGAACCAATGTAAAAAAGTATCGTCAAAGTAGCGAGTCTTGCACTCCATTTCGAATTGTCTGTGTCCGTCTGTGTTCGTAGTAATAGACCATCCTGTGCTTGTGTGTCTCTCTGCCTCTTTCTTTTTTTTATTACTATTTTCCTGTATATCATTATTTTTATTTCTTTTAAAGTAGCATTTTTTTTACGAAACACGTTTTTTAAACGCTGAAAAATGATTTTTTTCAAGTATTAAACATTTTTTTTTAAATCATAAAAATATTTTTTAAATATTTAATATTTTTTCCTTTTTTTATATTTTAATTTTATTCAATAATATTTAAATAATAAAAAATTCGTTTTTCCTAAATCAATGATCAAAATTTATCAGGGAAAAAAAATTAAAGAGGACTTTTTCGTTGTTTAAACTGTTCTGAATGAGATTTGGTGATTTAATGAAACGTAAATTTCATTGATGATTAAAAGAGAGATAAATGGGAAATAAATGAATAAAAAAAATTTTTTTCTATTAAAAAAAAATAATTTTTCCCGTGACAGCGCAAATTAGAATAAAAAACAAAAGAAATTTTCTGCTTCTAAAACTTCTTACCTTGTATTTAAATAGTGTTGTGAAAATGTCAAAGGATTGCGATAATGTCAGGGAAATATCAGGAAGAGGTCGGAGAACTTCCTATGTACTTTATAATTTATATCTTACCTTGAGAAAAGATGATTGTCTTTCCGACAATATTGAAACGAAAATTATTTTAATAAAAAAAAACAATTTTTGCTTTCATAAAAATTTATCTAAGCGTAAATTTTTCACTTATGCTCGTCAAGTTGTTGACTTATGTTCATTGCAAATCTATATATTTTAAGTCTTTTTTATCTTTTGCATGTTAATATTGATTAAATAAATGTTATAAATTGAGGTGGATAGTTTATTTTTGCTGATGTGTGATAAATGTCTAATCTTACTTAACTTTTAAGATTTAATTTAAGAACTTTTTTTTCCGTGTTAATTTTTAACTTGAAATAACTTTTTTTACTATTTTCTATCCATTGAAATCATTGCTTTATTAAAATAATTTAATAATTTAATTTCTTAATACTAAAATTTAAAATAATTTATATTTAAAACAGTTTATTTTAAAATTAATTTTTCATTTTTTTTATAATTTGCTTTTTCTATTTTTCCCTCCCTTTTTTTATTTTTTTTTTATTTTAAGCAGAGCCAAGGAATTGTTTTATTTGAACCAAATATTTTTATTAAATAAATGTATATTTATGTCGTAACCTAGGGTTTTATTTCTTTCAAATAAAGATTTTACTTAGCTCAAATAAATTTTTTTGGGCGGAAATAAAGTTTTTATTTGAAGTAAATAAAATTTATTTGAAAGAAATAAAATTTCTTGGAATCAAATAAAATTTATTTGCAGCAAATAAATTTCCATTGGTTGTGAAACAAAAATACCTTTTTCTGGATCTACTTAACAAAGAGGAAATAAATTTATTTTGTGTTAAAAAATGTATAAACAAATATAAAAGTATACTTAAATAACAAATGTAAATTTATAAATCAAGAATAAAAAATGTAAATTTCTAAATAAATGGTAAATATAAATTTCTAAATAAATAAATGTAAATTTCTAAATAAATGGTAAATATAAATTTCTAAATAAATAAATGTAAATTTCTAAATAAATAATAAATATAAATTTATAAATAAATAATGAAACAATTTTGTATTAATAATAAATAGATGCGTCGTGAAGAAATAAGAAGCAAAATTTTATAGGTTATGTTTGTTAACTTTTTACCGTAAGTAAAAGATTCTTTTTTAATTTTATAAGATGAAAAATATTTTTTATTAAATATTTTAAATGTAATTAAGTTTTATACATAATTAATTTCAATTGTGAATTAACCCATTTTATACATTTTCATTTTAGAAATAATAAACATAACCTATAAGATTTTGCTTCTATGACACTTTCTTCTCAATACGTTTCAATTGTAAATAAATATAAATTTATATTAAATGATAAATTTATTCTGTATGAAAATTAATTTTTTAACTAAATTTATAAATAAATACATAAATAAATAACAATTTTATTTTGTGTTAAAAGTAAATTCTTAACTAAGTATAATAATAATTAATTAATAAATGTGATAATAAATATTAATAAATTAATAAAAAATTAATAAATAATAAAGTTTGTATTAAAAATAAATTTATTGTTATTAAGAATTTCATTTTTCTAAAAATAAAGAAACAAAGATTCACAATTTTTGCTTACTTTCTGCTTCGCGAAATCATTCTATTTCATATTTTGTTGTATTTTTTTACTTATTTTTTTATTGAAACACTATAAATTTATTTATTGTAAGAAGTTAAAAATATTTTTAAAAATTTGACTTGATTTCGTTTAAAAATTGATTACATTTTGAAAATGGAAATGAATTTACAGTCAAATTAAAACTTAATCCAATTCTACATTTTTTTACAATAAAAATGCAATTTATAACAAAAAGGACTTTTTAAGTGGAAGTAATTTAATTTTTTTTTTGAATAATTAAAAGTCGAAATTGGATGAAAATTTAAAAAGTAAAGAATAAGAAATGAAAACAACTTGTTTTGTAATTGAAGTCGTTTCTCTATCTTAAATCTTTGTCATTTTTATTTCAATGTTAACTCTTAATGAACACAAAGACTCGGAAATAAAATTGCTCTCACTTTCACTGAAATACTTTTAAACTGTAAATTGATTTTTAATTTAAAGGTATACGAAAATATAAAGAATTGATTTTTGATTTGACTGTCTGTTCAGTTCCTCTTTAAAAATTTATTATTAGATCAAATTGAAGAAACATCTTTAAATTAATATTTTATTAAAATCACCGTTTTGCAAATTTTATTTTTTTTTATTTTTCATTTTTTAAAAATTAAAATTTCTTTCTTTTTTCTTTGAATTTTGTGAGTAATTTTACTTATTTTGTGTCCATTAATTATGTGGGAAAATATTCAGAAAATATTTTACGTTATTAAAAATTGAATTTGCCAACTTTTACCATGAAACTATGTTAAACGTTCAAAATTTCAACCTAAATTCGTTTTCCAACATCACAAAGGGTTTTGAAATTTTCACCATATTTCCAGGGTAAACAAAGGAAAATTTTCTCAAAAATTTGAGTGAAAACAGAACAGAAAGAAATTAAAGGAAAATTTGTTATTTAGCGAATAGTAATCGAAGAATGTTTCTTAATAATTTATTTGAAATAAAATAAATAATTTATTTTCTATTCTCAATTTTTTTTCAATTAATTTTCTATTTTCTATTAATTTTTGTTTCGTTCAGCTATATTTTTTTTGACCTCAATGAAAGTTATTCAAAATTTAAATGTATGGTTATTATGTAAGTTTTATTGCTGTTGCTTTTAACTTCTAATGATGTTAATTGTTTTTTTTTTTTTGGCAAATTATTTTTAATGTGTAGAGTATAATGTAAAGCATGTTGGTTACTGTTCATGAAAGGTACACGCCGATGCTGACAATTTGCATCCTATCAAAGTGAATCTTGTCATGAGGCTCAATTTCCTAAACACACTTAGAGAGAGAAATACTATATGGAGTATAATTAAATTTCAAAGTTCGTAAAATTCGAATTTGTCTCTCAAAATAATTCATTTATTTCATTAGAGGAAAAAGTGGATTTATTTAAAAAAAATTATTTTCAATAATTTTTTATTTGAAATTATTTCTTTCAATGAATTGCACATAATAAATGAATAAATAAAATAAATTTGTTTATTCACAAAAATAAGCCGAACAATAAATACCAAATAAATAAATAATAAAAAAATAAAATAATAAATAAATTTATTTATTTACAAAAATAAACGGGACAATAAATAAAAGAATGTACTTATGTATTTATTTATTTAATTATTCACAAAATTAAACGGGATAATAAGTAAAAAAATTAGAAAATATAAAAGAAAATAAAAAATAAAATAAGAAAAGTAAATAAAGTAATAACTAAAAAAAGAAATAAAAAGAATAAAAGACAATGAAAAATATAAATAAAACATAAAAATAAATAAATAGAATGTGTAATGAAATAAATTTATTATTATAAACTAATTAAATAAATAAATATACATATAGTAATTTATTTCTCTCAGTGTAATTTAATTGCTTTTTTGAAAATAATAATAATAATAATAATACTAACTGAAATTTGCTATAAATATACATAATATATATAAGTTAATAATTATCTGAATAATAGACTGATAATAATTAACTAACTTATTGTTTATATTGCAATATGAAAGAAAAAATAAATAAAAATTTGTGTTTTCTTAATTTTCTTTTTTCCTTTGGTTAAAATTTGATTGGAATGTTTCATCAAATTAAAGGATGCTTTATATGCGAAATAGAAAAAAAAATTGTTGATTTTTTTTATAATAATTAAATAATATTAAAATTGTGGATATTTGATGATGCAGGACGAATTGGATGTCCGCATTTCATGGCACCGGAAGTAATTCAACGTAGGCAATATGGAAAAGCGGGAGATGTTTGGTCGGCAGGTGTACTGCTTCACATATTACTTACTGGAACCCTTCCATTTGTTGGCTCTCGGGACCGTCTACGGGAAGCGATTTGCAGAGGACGAGTCCAGGTGAAGTAGACCGAGATTTTTTTTTTTTATTTCTCTATTTTTATGTATTTACACTATTTCAATTTCATGTAATGTTAAATATTTATTTTCATATTAAAATCGTTTTTTGTGATGGAAGTTTCTCCAAAGAAAGGTTTTTCATATAATTATCCCATTAACGCCTGAAACCTCTGAAAATTTGTGTTTAATTAAAGATTTAATTTCATATACTGAAAATGCTCCCTGCAAGTAACTGAAGTGTTTCTTTATGTTTTCGGGGTCGCTCTACAAGATTCCGGGCTCAGATTTAAAATTTATCGAAAATAAAATTAAATATGGCGAATTTTGTGCATCAAATTGGAAAAAAAATAAAATTTTTTTTTTAAAAATAATTATTTCTTACTGAAAACATTTTTTTCACACGAATTCAAATGTCACAATTTGGCACAAACTTATTAAACTTTCAAAATATGCAATAGCGAAAATAAAAAAACAAAATGGCGGCTTTAAAATGGCGTTAATTTGAGAAAAAAATTATTCAATTCTTTTTATGGTGCACCGATATTTACCATGGCTATGAAATGTGATAGAACTTAGTGTTTATATGTTTTTAGGGTCGCAGATTATGAATCTGCAATCGGATTTTCAAAATTCAAAATGGCGGATCCAATATGGCCGACAAATTTTTTTTAAATTTACTCGATTGGCTTGAATTTTGTTACTCAGGGGTTTTTAGGGTCGCAGATTATGAATCTGCTATCGAATTTCCAAAATTCAAAATGGCGGATCCAATATTATATGGCGGACAAAAAATATTTAAATTTACTAGATTCGCTTGAAACTTGTTTCTCAGGGGTTTTTGAGGTCGCTGATTATGAATCTGCAATTGCATTTCCAAAATACAAAATGAGTAACAAAATTTAAACGAATCGAGTAAATTTAAAAAAAATTTGTCGGCCATATTGGATCCGCCATTTTGAATTTTGAAATTCCGATTGCAGATTCATAATCTGCGACCCTAAAAACCCCTGAGTAACAAAATTCAAGCCAATCGAGTAAATTTAAAAAAATTTTGTCGGACATATTGGATCCGCCATTTTGAATTTTGAAAATCCGATTATATATTCGTCATGAGCGACCTCAAAAACATATAAACACTAAGTTCTATCACATTTCATAGCCATGGTAAATATCGGTGCACCATAAAAAGAATTGAATAATTTTTTTCTCAAATTAACGCCATTTTGAAGCCGCCATTTTGTTTTTTTATTTCCGCTATTGCATATTTTGAAAGTTTAATAAGTTTGTGCTAAATTGTGACACTTGAATTCGTGTGAAAAAAATGTTTTCAGTAAGAAATAATTATTTTTAAAAAAAAATTTTTTATTTTTTTGCAATTTGATGCACAAAATTCGCCATATTTAATTTTCTTTTCGATAAATTTTAAATCTGAGCCCGGAATCTTGTAGAGCGACCCCGAGAACATAAAGAAACACTTCAGTTACTTGCAGGGAGCATTTTCAGTATATGAAATTAAATCTTTAATTAAACACAAATTTTCAGAGGTTTCAGGCGTTAATGGGTTATACAAATTAAAATACAAAATTAAAGATGATTTATATAAATTATCTTTGGAAATAATTAAATGCTTCTCCAAAATTCAATTATTTTCAAAAATTTTCCGAAAGAATTTAATTATTTAAAAAACAATTTAATAAAATTCTACACAAACCTTTAATTATTTTCAAAAAATAATAAAAATTTAACAGAAAGTTCATTAATTACAAATTTTTTTTATAAATCTCTTAGCAATTTTTTTAAAGTTGGAAAAAATAAGTTTTTCTTGTTTCATGAAGGATTATTAATATATATTAGACAAAATTTTACTAGATACAAAGAAAAGAAAATTTTCCTGCAATTGAATTTAAAAATTTCTAATTTGAACTAAGGAGAATTTTTATTTTACGAAAATTTTACTAATAAAATTGCCGAAATATTAATTTCTTGATGATTTTCTGTTTCGTCGATATTTTAAAAAATTTTCGCAGTAATCTTTCTGTTGAATGTTTGTTCGGAGAAATGGAAATTTTGTCAATTGATATTTCGGCATTTTAAGAGTACTATATCAAATGCCAATTCATGCAAATAAAAATTCGGACAAATGAAAATCCGTTGAAATGGAAATTTTAACATTGAAAAATCTGAATCATTAAAATTCTGTTAAATGAGATTTCCGCTAAATTGAGATTCAATATTGAATTCGATCTCTTTCAAACAAAAAGTTAGTTAATTAAAAATTTAGTCGATTGAAAATTTTGACAATTGAAAATTTTGTTAAATAAAAATTCACAGTGTTAATATTGTCAATATTCTGTTAATATTCAGTTAAGTATAATTTTTGTACAATTTTTGCTAAGTAAAAATTTGAATTTATTGAAATTCGCAAATTCTAAATTCAGTTGTATGAAAATTCTATCGAATAAAATTATCTTAAATAAATATTCAAACTTACAATTTATATTCGATGTTATGCGTAATCCTTGTAAAAATTTCATAATTTTCAAATTACAATTCTCTCACGGGTCAGAGAAAAGTTAGGGAAAATTTTACTTAAATATTTCCAAATTAATTGAATTTGATAAGAATTGTATTTACAATTTTCATAAATAGATCAACTTACAAAAATTGTAATTTGAAATTTTGTTTTCAATTTTGAATGAATTTAATTAGAAATTTTAAAGAACTTAGATTTTTGAAAAATTTTAATAATTCAAATTCTTCTGAAATTAGTTAAATTTTTTAATATATACTCAGAAATTCAATTATGTTTATTTAGTAACTTTATTTAGTAGGGTAGAGTGGGGTAAAAAAGCCATGGTGTAAAAAAGCCATTTGAGTTTTATTTAAAAACTATTAAGCCGATTTATCAGCTGTTTAGAATATAAATACTATTAGGTAATACGCAACTTTTGAATCTAATTTGAATGTTGTACCTAGATTAATATTGTTTTTATTGTAATTTTAATTTTTTGTTGCTTTTTTGAAAACATTTTAGTGAACTTTTCAAACATATTACAACCTGATTAAGTGAACGAATAATAAAAGTAAATGTTTGTACATAAGGAGAAAAGTATACCGAAAACGTATACAATGTTAATTTTTGGAAATTGAACTGAATTAACAATTTATTTTTGCTTTTTTTAATAACTGGTCATGGGTGTGAAAAAGCCAGGGCAAAAAATCCATTGAATATTTTGTGAAATTCACTTGTTTTCTATTTAAACTAACCTTCTTATTTTACAAAATTTCTCGTGTTTATTTAATAAAATAAATTAAACACGACGAAAAAGTAGTTCAAAGTGCATTTAAAAAATAAACAATGAATAAACGGTTGCAACGAAATATGTTATCTGTGGTGAAACTTAAAGAGAACTTCTAAAAAAGGTACGAAAAATTGGCAGTGCAAATCGAAAACAGGTAAACTTAATTTAATTTTCAATTTTGCTTGCTAAAAACTCTTTCATAATTATTAGAATATTTTTCAAATAAGACTATTTGTCATATAAATAAAGGGAAACTATAAAAATACCTAAATTGATAACATGTTTTGCTAAAATCGTAGGGTGGCTTTTTCACCCCACCAGGTGGTGCAAAAAAGCCACTTGCAGTGCTTTCGTAAAACTCTTATAACTTAGTCCTTTCATGAGATAAAAATTATTTTCGTCAAGAATTTTCAAGCTTAATAACTAAACTTTCAATAACAATTGGAAATTTGAGAAAAAAATTTTAAATACAGATTTTACAGCATCACAATTAAAAATGTGGCTTTTTTACCCCACTCTACCCTAAATATACGGCCTTACAAAAAAATGTTCAAAAATTTAAAAAAAATTCTCGTCAAAATGTCAATTATCTTTATGAATAATAAAATTCTTCTCCGAAAGTCAATTATTTTCATAAATAATAAAATTTCCACAAGAATTCAATTAATTTAAAATAGCATTTTCAAAAAAATTTCGAAAAAATCTATTATTTAACAAAATTTTTATACAATTCTTCACAACAATTTAATTACTTTCACTACATTTTTCATGGAAATTCAATTTTTCTAAAAAATTTTTTATAATTATATTTTAAGCAAGAATTCAATTATTTTCATAAATAATAAAACTCATCGAAGAATTTCAATTATTTTTAATACTATTATTAATTAATTAATCGAAAAATTCAATTATTTTCACAAATAAAATATTCCACAAGAATTCAATTATTTAAAATAAAATTTTCATAATATTTATTAGATTTCGAAAAAATTAATTATTTAAAACAATGTTTATAAAATTCTTATGATGAATTCAATTATTATCAAAAATAATAAAATTTTTCACAGAAATTCAATTCTTTTTAAACATTTTAATAAACTTGCAATAATTCAATTATTTTTATAAATAATAAAATTCTTCTCAGGAATTCAATTATTTTTGAAAATTTTAATAAAATTCTTTGTAACTATTTAATTATTTTCATAAATAATAAAATTCAAAGCAGGATTTTAATTATTTTGAATACGATTTTACGAGAATTGATGAAAAAATGAAATTATTCTTAAAAATTTAATTTCAATGCCTCGAAAAAATCAATTATTTAAAAAAATTGTTTTTTAAAATTCTTTGGAAGAATTTAATTATTTACAAAAATATTAGAATTTTTCACAGGAATTCAATTGTTTTCAAATATTTTAATAAAATTGTTCGAAACAAAATTAATTATTTTAATTTAATGAAGTCAAATACGATTTTAATTAAATTTTTTTTAACTAATTCAATTATTCTTTTAGAATTTAATTAAATTTTTCACGAGAATAACAAAATTATTCCCGAAAATTTAATTATTTTAAGGCATTTTAATAAAATTCTTTGAAAAATTCAATTATTTTCAAAAAATAACAATATTTATCACAAGAATTCATTTATTTTTAAAAGTAATAAATTTTCTCTTGAAAATTCAATTATTTTAAAAAATTCTAATAATTTCGTTTGCAAGAATACAATTATATTCATAAATAATAAAATTCATCCCAGGATTTCAATTATTTTGAATTCGATTTTACAAGAATTGATCAAAAAATGAAATTATTCTTAATAATTTAATTTCAATTCCTCGAAGAAATCAATTATTTAAAAAAATTTTTGTAAAAATCTTTCTAAGAATTCAATTCTTTTCATGAATAATAAAATTTTCTCAGAAATTCAATTATTTAAATTAGAATTTGCATAAAATTGTTCGAAAAAAATCAGTTATTTCCAAATTTTAATAAAATTCTTCGCAAAAATTAAATTATTTCTATAAGTATTTAAATTCTTTGATGAATAATAAAATTCGTTGCAGGAATTCAATTTATTAGCAGGTTAAGAAAGAAGTAAATATTTTTAATGAAAATTGGGAAAAAGTCAGGAAAATAAAAAATATATAATCGAATTTTCGTCAGTTTTGTGAAGTGTCTAAAACGAGTTTTTTTTAGGTCAAGTTCAATTTTTCGATAGTTATTTTTTTACTACTTTTTTTTAGTTTAAAAACTACTTTTCTAAAATTAATTATCGAGTGCGAAGTCTGTTATTGATAAAGAATAATTTTAGTTAAAAAATGTAGAAAATAATAATTGAATTAAAATGATGAAAATAATTTTAAAGAAGTTACAGTAGCAATATTCTTGTAATATAAAATAATGATTTTATCACTTGGTCATCTTTAATTATTTTATTATAAAACATGAAGTGATCGCTTTCTTCATGTTTTATACTAATATTCCTTTAATTCATTGAATTTCAAAAAGTTTGAATCAAAATTTTCGAAAATCTCAATTCCTATGGAAAAATTTTCATTAAATATTTATTTAAAAAAGAAGTTATTGATGTTTTCGAATATTTTTACAATTAAATTATATAATTGTAAGAGAACATTTTTTTTGAGTAGACTGAATCAGAGTATTCTTTATGGTTATGGGGGAAAAAGTCAAAATTTTTTCTGGAAATCAGGGAGAAATGAAATTAAATGTTTGTGGCAATCCTGTTTTAAAATTTGTAGATAACTAAAAATTGTTGAACAATTTTTATACATTTTTTTTTTAATCATCTTGACAATGACATGATTAATTTGAATAATTTCTTTCTTTTTTTGCAGATGGAGACACATTTATGGGACAATATTAGTGAGACAGCAAAAGATCTTATTCAAAGGATGCTCACGACGGATGTAAATCACAGAATTACTATTCAAGAAGTTCTCAATCACAAGTGGCTGAGAGTGAGTAGTTAAGTTGGTTCTCTTTGGAAAATCGTTACTCTTGAAAGTCGGTGATCGCACATACAGGCTAGGCATCTTTCTATCGGTTTATATATTGTAACTATAATAATAAAAGTAGGTACTTTTAAATATAGTCGGGTTGTGGGTGACGATGCTGTCACTCGTGGTCTGATGTCAGTAAAGGTGTCGATGCGTATGACGATGTGCATTACGTATATGTGTTTCTCTATGGCATGTGGTTGAGCAGTTAGCAAGTGAAGTAAGGAAGGGGCGCACGAGGGCTCTGAGAGTATCGATGTAATACACGTGCAAGTGGGTTATCGATTTGTGGGGGCAAAGCTCGCTCACTTAATGAAAATAAGCTAGATATATAACTATCTTTACGATTCATGTGCTTTCAGACCATTTTATTTTAGTGAAATTAATATTTTTTCATTTATTTATTTATTTATTTTTTTTTTTTTAAACAAAAGTTTTGCTTTTTATTAAACGCCAAAATCCCTCGATTCGAAATTAAGAAACTTAATTTTTCAGTTGACTGCAAATAATAATCTTTAAATTCTTTTCTTTTCTTTTCTTTTCTCTAAAATTTAGAATTTATGTTTCTTCTAAGTATTTCGTTATTATATAAAGACAAGCAAAATTTTACTCACGCGACAAAAACATCCTTTGGAAAAATTCAATTATTTTTATTAGTAGTAAAATTCTTCGCAGCAATTTTAATTATTTTCTAAACAATTTCAATACAATTTCACAAAAGGATTCAATTGTTTTAAAAAATCTTCTATATTAATAATCCTTGTATTCAGGTAATCCTTTTTTTGATTCCTAACTTATTAAATACTTTTTCTTATTAAGTGTTTAAAATTTTTAAATTAATGTAATTACAATTGTATTGAAAATTTTAAATAATTTTTACTGAAAATTTTGAAAATAATTAAATTTTATGAAGATCTTTTAAGTTTTTAAAATAATCGTGTTTATCATTAATTGTAATTAATAATTTTCTTATTAAAATTTATATTAAAATTATTCATAGAAAACTAAATTCTTTTAAACAATTTTATTAGAGTTTTTGTAAATAATTACATTTTTTTTGGAAGCATTTAATTAAATTTCGTAAAAATAATGTAATTTTTTAAAGTAATTCTAATTGAAAATTTTGAAAATAATTGAAATCTACAAAGAATTTTATTAAAAACTTTTGAGAATAGTTAAATTGTTTAGAAAAATTTCATTACAATTTTTAAAAATAATTGAACCTGTTAGAGAAATTTTACTAAAATTATCTTGAATATAATTGAATTTTTTCCTAGAAATTTTATTAAAATTGTATAACGTAGAGTGTTTTCAGGACCTTAATTTTTGTCAAATAAAATTGTTTATATTGTGGCCTTGGGTCCAAAAGATTTGAGAAAGTTGTTAAAAATCAGCAATTATTACTTTATTTCATCGAATGCATTTTCACTTTTTGGACCCAAGGCCACAATATAAACAATTTTATTAAAATTGTATTGAAAATAATTGAATTTCTCAGAAGAATTTTACTACTTACAAAAATAATTGAATTCTTCACAAGAATTTTACAATTTATAATAATAATTAAATTGTTTCGAAGAATTTAATTAGAATTGTTGAAAATAATTGAATTTTTATTAAAACTCTTGACAATAATTGAATTTAAATAATATTTCAAAAAATAATTGTATTCTTTCGAGAAATTGTATTAAAATTGTATTGAAAAGAATTGAATTCCTCCGAAACATTGTATTATTTTTATGAAAATATTTGAATTCCTTTGAAAAATTTTAATGTGTATGAAAATATTTTAATCTTACGAAGAGTTTTCTTATTTATGAAAATAATTAAATTCTTGTAGAGGATTTTACAATTCATAAAAATAATTGAATTGTTTCGAAGAATTTTATCTGAATTTTTGAAAATAATTGGATTTTTTGAAGGAATTTTATTAAAAATTTTGAAAAGAATGATTTCAATAAAAATTATTGAAAAACTTCATTATTTTCTGAAAATTCAAAAATGTTTTAATAAAATTCTTATCAAGAATTAAATTATTTTCAAAAATTTTAATAACATTTTAGGAAGAATTCGATTGTTTTCAATAAAATTTATCTAAAGAATTCACTTATTTTCAAAAATTTTGATAAAATTCTTCAAAGGAATTCTATTATTTTCAAATTTTTTTGATACATGATTCGTTAGAATTCAATGATTTTTAATACATGAATTTAAAAAATTCAAAACATTTTGAAAGAAATTTTTTTAAAAACTTAGGAAACAAAGAGCCAGCAAAAATTAATGTCAAAGAAATTTGAATGAAATTTTTTCAAAAATCTAACTTCTTCAGAATTTTTAATCAAAATTCAAATTTTCTAAAATTTTAATTTGAAACCTTTTGAAATTCAATTTTTTATTCAAATTAATAATTAATAAATAGAAATATTATTAAAATTCTTTATTTAAAATAAATACAATTTCATATTCTGTAAAGTCCAATTAAATATTATGACGAAAATCTAGAATTTTCTTATGCATTTCCAATTTATTATAAATCAAGGAAATTCAGGGAAAAGACAGAAAATTTATCAAAAATACTGGAAAAAGTATTAAATTTCTGGAATTGATAAAAAAATACTTATCTTTGATTTCCAAAAAAACTTTCAAAATATTAAAAGCACTTAATTTTTCTCGAATTTTTTTTTTTTTTTTTGACAAATTGAAAATTGAACGATTTTAAATGAAAATAAATTGTAATTGTATAGGAGAGTAATTAATTTTTCTCTTTTACAGGATCGTGATAAGGCTACTGTACATTTAGGAGAAACTATAGAAGAACTTAAAAAGTTTAATGCTAGGCGAAAATTGAAAGCCGCTGTGAAAGCAGCTGTTTCCTCAGCAAGGTGGCATGCACCATATTCGGAAACAAACGGCGATAGTTACTTTGAAATTGGCGATGAGGAAGTCATGACAACAGGTGTGTATAAAATGAATTAAAATATTCTTCTAAATAATAATAACAGATGGTGAATTAAAAAAAATTATTATTTATTTTTTGAATTAATCAGTTTATTGAACTTTTTATAATCAACGAAAAATATTCATTTTGACTGTAAATATAAATTTTAAGTGATAAAAAAAGAGCTTTGGGAATCCTGAAAGAAATTTATTGTAATTCAATTATTCAGCTACAGCGATTAAGTAGTTTGCATAGCCTCATTTTTTTCTTTCCTCCTTCTGGCATTTTCTCTACATATTTAGTTTGATTTTACGATAGTGACATTAATAATTAATTAGTTGTAAATTTATTGCGAATTAATTGTAAAATTAATATGTTTAATTATTATCTTTCTTGTTCTATTCAATTCCATTTTTTTCATTTAGAAAATTTTACTCACTTCCGTCGTGTATTACATATAAATGGAATTAATTTTATGGAAATGTGTGGGCACATATATTTTTAATTATTAAGTATTGTTATAATGAATCTCTAATTTTCGATTTAACATTAAAGTTGAAGGAAAATTCCCAAAAATTAAAATTCAAGTTTTTAGTTTAATTAAGATAAAAAATGCAATTATGAACTAATTAAATAATTTCTATAAACTGTATTTAAAAATTCTTCTACAAATTTGTATATTGAATTTTTAGGTCCCGTTGCTGAAATTTTAGATTCACTTGATGATATAGAGATACTTCAAGAGAGTGGTAGACTGACACGCTCTGAAATTCTTTCCACTGTTGATGATCATCAGCTTCGTGCGATATTAGAGGTATTATTATTATTTTTTATTTTCGCAGTCTCTAATTAAATTAAAAATTCTTTGTTATGACCAAATGAAATTAGTGAAGAATTTCAAGAATCTTTATTTGTGTAAATAACTCTGGCTTCTACGATTTGAATTCAAAAATTTTTGAAATTATCAAATGTTTGCAAATTATATTAGTAGTCAATTTATATTGTATTCCAGTTCTGCATTTTTAATTTATAAATATTAATATGCGAATATTTTACTTAGCTATTGTTGAAGTTTAAATTAAATTAAAGTTGCATTAATTTAATAACTGGAAAACTTAAAAAAGTAGAGGATAATATTATTAGCGCTCGAATTTTGTCCGTGAATCCCGTAAAAGTCCGTAACTTTTCTTAAAGTCCGCAAAAGTCCGTTTTTTTGAAAAAGGTCCGTAAAGTCCGTAAATTGTACGATATAATTTGGATAAATTTAGAGAAATTACAAATGATTGTAGAAATTCAATTATTTTCAAAAGTAATAAAATTCTTGTCAAAAATTCAATTATGTTAAAAAATTTTTAAAAATTCTCGTCAAAATTTCAATTATCTTTAGAAATAATTAAATACTTCTCCAAAATTCAATTATTTTCAAAAATTTTAATAAAATTCTTGGAAAAATTTCAATTATTTTCAAAAATTTTCCACAATTCAATGATTTTTAATAGGTATTTGCTATTCTAATAAAATTTTCCAAAAGAATTCAATTATTTAAAAAATAATTTAATAAAATTCTATACAAACCTTCAATTATTTTCAAAAAATAATAAAAATTTCACAGAAATTTCATTATTTACAAATTGTTTTATAAATCTCTTCGCAATCATTCAATTGTTTTCATAAATAATAAAATTTTTACAAGAATTCAATTATTTTGGTAAATAATAAAATTCTTATTAGGAATTCAATTATTTTGATAAATAATAAAACTCATTGCAGAATTTCAATTATTTTTAATACATTTTTAATTGAATTCCTCGAAAAAATGTAATTATTCTTAAAAATATTATTAAAATTTGTCAAAAGAATTTAATTATTTAAAAATTTATTGATACAATTCTTTATGAGAATTTAATTATTAGAAACATGCAATTATTCAAAAAAAAATTTTTTTGTATTTAAATAATTGAAATCTGGTTAAATTTTCTAATAAAAATTAATTTAAAAATAGATTTCAGTTAAAATTTTAGATTATAATTGAATATTAAAAGCATTAGAGCATAAATTTTTAGAAATAATTGAATTTGGAAAAGGTTTCAGCTTAAAATCTTTGAAAATTTGAATTTTTCATATTTTTTAACTAACAATTCTGTGGAATTAATTTTTTTTGAGAAAGTTTAATTGTAGATTTTTTTAATATTATTTGAAGTTTTTTTTTCTAATATATATTTAATTGAAGAATTTACGAATAATTGAAATTTCGTAAAATTGAATATTGTAAACAAATGGATTTGAAAATTGTCAAATAACTTTTTCGAAAATTATTAAAAATAATTGATTTTAAGAAGAATTTTAATTAAAAATTCTTCAAAATGACAGTTTTATCATAGTTATAAAAAATTTAATTTATAGTTTTAAGTGAAATGTTCTTTTATTTGACTCTGACTGGTTATATTTTTGTCAGCAATTGGTCCTTAAATAGTCCATAATTTTTCATTTTTCATCCGTAAAGTTCGTATTTTTAAATACTTTTACTGGTTCGAGCCCTGTATTAGAAGTATTTTCTATTTAAAATCAAATTGATGATAAAGAAAATTATAATTGTGTATTTTGAATTATTTGACAACTTATTAGTTTGCAATTCAAATTAATTTATTTTTAAATGTTGAAGAAGCCAGAAAAGTTCTTGGAAATTTGACTTTAGATATTTACATAATACGTGAAAGATTATTTATTTCTCGAATAAAATTTATTAACAACAAAATAAAGAAAAATAGGATAACTAGAAAAATCGTAGAATTGACAAAAGTTGATATTTTTTCAATATTCATTTTGAAAATCGTAAAGTAATTTTGTTTGGGATATAATGAGAAAAAGAATAATATAAGAAATAATATAAGAATAATATGAGTAAAGAATAACAATAACGAAATTATAATTTTACGGATGAAAGTGAAAAATAATTTTATTGAATTATATAAAAATAATTTTTTGATAATATTCTTGTAAATAATACTTTTGAATTTTATTTATTTTTATTTATAAGTTTATTAATTAAATCTATATCGATTTTTATTTTGTATAATTATTTTATTTTTTATTTGATTTAAATTTTTTATTTTGCGTTTTATTTTTAAATTTGGAATTTTATTTTATTTTGTCTTTTGAAAAATTTTGTCAAATCGATGAAAGTGTGTCAAATCTGCTTCAAATTGACAAACGTTTATTTTGATGTTTTATTATTTAGATTGACAATTTCATAAAAATTGAATTCTGTTTTGTCTTTTTCCTGAAACCAATTATTTATCACTGATGTTACGTATATTTACTTGATTTTATACTTTTTTTTATTTCATATTTCTTGTTGTTTTTGAATTTTTTATGTTAAAAGAATAAAAAATCCGATTTCTCGGTATTATGCTCTCTCTGAATTTAAATTATTTAAAATTTTAACTGATTTGAATTAGTGCTTGACTTTTTATTTTCAAATCAGTTAAAATTTACCGATTTATCAGTAGAAAAGATTTTTTTACAGATAAATCAGTTTGACTGATTAAAAAACAAAGTGAAAGTCACTAATTTAAATAATAGTTAAAATTTTAACCTTGTTCAGATTTACAGAATTAGTAGTTTTTATTAGTAGAAGGTTAGTTTTAGTCCGAGAATTCTATTTACAATTCTTCTTATTCAATTTAATATTTTTTCATCTTCTTATTTAAATTTCAGTAGTAATAGTTTCTTTGAAGTCAGACAATGTTTCAGTAGTAAAAATAAGTTTAAGTCATACGTATAACTATGTATTCAAATTCTGAAAATTCATTTTTCAGTATCAAAAGTTCTATTCAGTGACACAAAATAGTTCGAAATCAATAGTAAAACATATTTATACTGTTCGAATTATTTCCATGTTTTTTAATTAAAGTTCTCAGTTGTCAAATTAAGCTTTTCAAAACAATTTAAATCAAATAGAATTTGATCAAGTATTATCGAGAATGTTATTTAAAAACAATATAACATGAAAACTTGAATTGAAAGTCGAGACAAATTCTTGTACTTGACGTTTTCTCGCTTGATCTCGTTTGAATGCATCACTAACTCAGTAAAACTCTCTTTTAGTCAGAAATTTATGTTTAGAATTTATGTAACTTCTATTCTTATCTATTTTCAAATTTGTATAAATAGTAAAAAGTTAATTTTAATCAGACAACTCATTCCTGATTCTTCTAGTTAAAATCACAGTAGTATAAATTGAATTCAGTCAGACGAAATTACTCTAAATTGTTAAAATTCCGTTTTTTCAGCAATAAAAATAAATTTCAACTCATACGTGAGTTCCAAACTTCGAAAATTCATTTTTCAGTAGTAAAATTCGATTTAATCAGACACAATATATTATTGCCAGTAGTGCAACTGGTGTTTAGTCAGCCAAGGTGTTTGGAATAAAAATTACCAACTTTCATTAGTAACAATCTGTTTCAGTCAGACCTAATTATATGTATTGTAGTAGTAGAAATTATTTTTGGTCAGTAATAAAGATTTTACTTGATTTAAGTTCATAGATAAGTGGTAGAGGTTAATTGTGGTCAGACATAAAAATCGTAGTTAAATTTTCTTAAATTAAAAGTAAAGTTATAATTGATACATGATTTATAAGAAAAAAAAATAAAAAAGCTTCAGTGGTATTTCAATAAGTCAACTCATTTATAATTCTTCTGACTCAGATTTTAGTAGTAACAATTGCATTTAGTCAGACGAAGTTTGTCAGTATTGTTAAAATTCAGATTTCAGTAGTAAAATAAATTTTAAATCATACGTGAGTTACAAATTTTAAAAGTTTATTTTTCTGTAGTAAAACCTCTGTTCAGTGAGGCGAAATATTTTATTATCAGATGTACTACTATAGTTTATGTGGACGAGGCGTTTGGTTTAAAGTTATCAACAGAAGTAACAATCAGTTTTAGTCAGACATAATTATCTGAATTGTAATATAATTCTCTTATAAGTTGTAATCGTTAATTTTCGTCCGCTAATTTTATTTATAATTTTTCTAATATAAGTCGCAGTAGTAACAGTTGAATTTAGTCAGACAAAGTTTGTCAAAATTGTTAAAATTTTGTTTTCAGTAAAAAAAGTAAATTTTAAATCATACGTGAGTTACAAATTCCGAAAATTTATTTTTCACTAGTATAGCCTCTATTTAGTGAGACTAAAAATAAAATAAAAAATATTAACTTTCAGTAGTAACGATCAGTAAATAATATATTGTATATTAAAAAAATTAATTCTTAACTAAATTAATTTTTGAATTAACTTTATTTTTCAATTCTGTATAGTAGTTTTTATCAGTCAACTCATTCATTATTCTTCTTACTAAAATTCAGTAGATTTAGAGAGAGTAGTAAAACCTCTTTTGAGTCATTCGAAATATATTATAACCAGCAGTACAACTAGAGTTTAGTTAGACAAGACGTTTGGAATAAATATTATAAACTTTTAGTAGTAACAGTCAGTTTTAGTCAGACATAATTATCTCATAAGTAGTATTTGTTAATATTAGTTTGACAATTTTATTTACAATTATTTTAATTTAAATTTCAGTGGTAAAAATTGAATTTAGTGAGAAGAAGTTTGTCAGTATTGATAAAATTCATTTTTCAGTAGTAAAACCTCTGTTTAGTCTGGCAAAATATTTGATTATTAGCAGTACAACTAGAATTTAGTTAGATATAAGGCATTTGGAATAAAAATTATCAACTTTTAGTAGTAACAATCAATTATAGTCAAACATAGTTATATGAATTGTAATAATTACTTCATTACTAG